CCCCCCCCCCCCCCCCCCCCTTACTACGCACACTTACTCACATTACAGTAACACATATCATAGCTTCTTAAACACGCACTAACGCAAGTCAGACACAATCTCTTCTTTTGTCCTTTCACGTCTAGACTACTGCAATTCTTTGTTTGGAAACTTTTCCACTGAAATGTGAAATAGATTACAGCGACTCCAGAACCAAGCTGCTCGCATAATTTTAAAGAAATCTCTCAAAGAGCATATAACACCAATGCTAATTCAACTACATTGGCTCCCGGTAAAAGTACAAATTCAGTGCAAAATAATTGTTCTTTGCTCTAAGGTCGTCAAAAACATTGCACCATCATATCTTTGTGACATGGTCATCGAATATATACCATCTCGGCCTTTAAGATGGGCGACGAAAAGACTTATAAGACCTGTCCAAAGCAAAAGTCAGAGACTCGGAGGGAGAGCTTTTTCACACCACGCCCCCTCCTTGTGGAACGCTTTACCAGCTCATCTACGGGAGTCCACCACTTTATCAAAATTTAAATAAGCACTTAAAACGCATTTGTTTCAGTCCAGCTTCAATCTGTAATTTCCGACATTCCCAATACAAATATTGTTATGTTCTCTCAGTATCTATTATATTCTCTCAGCTAGTATCGTTTATTCATGCTGTTCTGTTCTGTAAGAATTTATGATTGAGTGAATTCATCAATGGGTGCGAGGGTGTCTGGGTAAGCTTTGTTGGATTGTCTTTACTCAAGGATGTACTGGAGAGAGAGAGAGAGAGAGAGAGAGAGAGAGAGAGAGAGAGAGAGAGAGAGACAGAGAGAGAGAGAGAGACAGAGTGAGACTAGTGCGCTATTTTAATGCTATTATTATTATTATTATTATTATTGTTATTATTATTATTATTATTATTATTATTATTATTATTATTATTATTATTATTATTATTATTATTATTACTATTATTTATTATTATTACTATTATTATTATTATTATTATTATTATTAGTATTGTTATTATTATCTTTCTCTCTCTCTCTCTTTCTCTCTCCCCCCCCTCTCTCTCCCCCTCTCGGTCTCTCTCTCTCTCTCTCTCTCTCTCTCTCTCTCTCTCTCTTACTCTTTGTCGCTCTCTTTATCTCTCACTATTTCAAGTGAGGCACC